CCGTGGCGGCCAGCGCGCCGCAGTCCCCGAAGTACCAGCCCTCGAGCTCTGCGCGCAGGGCCGCCTCCTCGCCGAGGCCAAGAGGACGACTGCGACCCAACAGGACATCTGGCGGGCACGATCCGACAAATGGTGGCCTCTCGTCTGGATCCCTGGCTGCGGCCTGGCGGCCTCGACGACGACGGCGACGACGGCGAGCCGGGAATAGGTTTCGAGCCGTCCACTTGCAAGCGGGGTGCTGCTGCCACCCTGTGCATTTTTGAATCGTTTGGTCGAATTGCACCCTAACCTCGTTTCGCTGGAAAAACGGTCGAACATGTTTTTGACAATCGTTCAACCTATTGGGTCTTCGCCACGCCCCTCTGGACCGTGAACAAAAAACCGGGGATGAAGAGCCAGTCACGGGAACGAGGTCAAAACGTCTGACCTCTGTGGCTCCGACTCCACGTCTTGAAGACAAACACGACGACGGAGGTCTGGGCACACATCACAAGCCCACCGCCTGGGGAGCCAATGCCCGAGAACACTGTGGAGGCAATGGATATATAACCGGTTACTCCTGCACCAGGAGAACACTTGCCATAGTGCACATTCGTCACTAACTGGTCTGGGAGATCAGAGGGAGGCGCCGTCGGGGAAAAGCCTTGGAAAACAAACGGGAGGCGCGAATCTATGGTTATCCCTGGCGACCACGCCCTGCCTTGATCACTCGGGGCTCTGACACTGGCGCCTGGGGCAGGAGAAGCGGGCATCAAATGCGGGAACTCGGATCGAATCGAAATGCGCATCGGATCGGGCCGCACCGGCACGGAGTCAAAATCGAATCGCATCGGCCGTGCCAAGATACACATCAACGCCCATGCAAACATCGGGCCTGCATGCAAATATCCGATCGGAATGGGCCGGCCGAACTCGACATCGAATCGATCGGATCGAGATGGATCCTGTGGGTTCACTCGGCCTTCGGGCCGTAGCTCGGGTCTCTGGTGGCTGTTTGGGACGGTCCGAGCACCCTGGGAACGCTCTCGGAGAGGCGCAGCTGCTGGAACATACCCCGAGGCTGGATCAATCGCCGAGAACCGACGAAAATGCGGAAGACGTCAAAATGGCTTGGGAACCGCATACACGACCGATACCGCTACTCCACGGACCTCTCACAGGGTGCAATCTGGCCAGAATTTTGAAAAAATCCGGTCCTGGCCGACGAGGGACTTCCAGGACGAGCAGAGCTAGTGGTACCTCTCCCATCTCTGACTATCGGCCCCCCCGCATGGACGTGCACACAAATTCTGGCCCTGTGCGGTCCTCCTCGGCGGACGGCCCGTCGGGGTCCGCGTGGACCTGCCGCCGCGGGGCCAGGGAAGGCGTCCGCGGGGGGTCCCATTCGGTTCGAGCGGGCCGCGTGGCCTCCGCCGAAGCAGTGCTGCGCTCGACACCCCTGCAAGGCGGGGACTCATCCACAGCCACCGCCGCCGACGGCGCCGATGCATCGGCGATGCGGCGCGATCCTCCGACCCCATCTATTCCAAATCCCTTATTAATCGTCCCCCGGGTCCGGTTTTCTAAGGCGCCTTTTTGGTCATTAAGGGGGTCCGGTTTATTAGGTCGCTTTCTTTGGATTGGAGCTGAGGGGGTCTGGTTTACTAAGGCGCCCCATCGAAGAGGGGGTCCGGAATATTAGGTCGCATTTGGAGGGGGGTCCGGTTTTTTAGGGGGGGGTCGATTAATAGGGGATTTGGAGTACTCTGACCCCATCTGGGCCTGTACCACAGCCACCGCCTGGTGGATCGATCTTCGGGGACTTCGGCAGGAGACACTGACCCATTCCGGCCCGCAGGGCCGACGGCCCAGTCGGACTCCCAGGGCCCGAATGTATCCACATCCACCGCCTGCACAGGTCCCCGAAGATCGATCTCCCCGGGCAAGGGCTTCGGATAGATCCATGCCTCGGAAGTGCTGCGCTCGACACCCGGGCGCGTTGACTTCGCGACGGTCGGCACGACGCCAGGTCAGCTTTCCACGCCGCCTGGTCCCTCGGGTTTTGGCCCGTGCGGCCCCCCGGCGCGCATCTGGGGCGCGTGCGCACCACTCTGGGGCGGGACGGCGAGGAGGGATGAAGATCTCCCAGGCAAGTTTTGGCCCATGTCCTGCCCCACTGTTCCCTTATGAGCCCGTTCGGCGTCTGAGCCCGCTCAGTCGCCGAATGGACAGGCGAACGGGCTCAGTTCCGACAGTAGAGGCCTCCTAGATGGGGTCGGAGTAGATGGGGTCGGGCATCGCGCCGGATCGCCGATGCATCTTCGACGTGGGCGATGCATCGGCGTCGTCGACGCGAAGCAAATCGGGCTCCGCATCGAGCCGCATCGCCGATGCATCGGAGTTGCGGCGCGATCCTCCGACCCCTTCTACTCCGACCCCATCTGGGAGGCCTAGGGACAAGGCCGCGGGAAGCGAGCCCGTTCGGCTGCCGAACGGGCTCAGAGGAGAACTCTGGGGGGGGGGGGGCCCGCAACCCGAGGCGGGAGGGTGAGGAGGAGAAGGGACGAGGATTTCCGAGCCTCAAAGGAGGATGAGGACGAGGGATGAGGACGAGGGATGAGGGCGAGGAGGATGAGGGGGATGAGGGATGAGGGACGAGTATCTCCCCAGAAATCACGACGGCAGGTCCAGAACTCCGGGGGTACACGTCGAGAAAAAACTGTACGTGAGGCCTGGGACCATTTCCCACCCGACACACTGCGAAACGCGTACTCGAGCGATGTCACTGCAATGCGGAAGCTGCTGCCTGGTCCTACTCGGTCAGAGTATGTGATAGCAGCATCGGAAAGAAAGAGGAAATATAAAGAGGGAACGAGTTGGGCGGATGAGCAGGGACGAGAACGAGGAGGAGTGAGCACGAGGCAAACGAGCGACAAGCCGTCGTAACCCGGGGCGAGGCCTTGGGACTGAGGCGGCCATTTGCTGTCCCCTCCCCCATCCCTCTCATCCCCCCCCTCCTCCTCGACCGTCGATCTCCTGCTCTCCTCCCCCTCCTCATAAACCTCCTTCTCCTCCTCGTGTTCATGGTCCTCCCCCTCCCTCCTCGTCCTCGCCATCCGCGTCATCATCCTCTCCTCACCTGTCCTCGCCGTCCTCCTCGTCCTCGTCCTCGTCCATCCCGTTGTCGTCCACTGCTGTTCCTCCTCGCTATGATCCACCTCGTCCTCCACCATGGCAAAAACTCCACACCTCCACGTGCTCATACTGCGAATCGGCGTCCTCTTGGTCCTCCCTCTCCTCATACTCGTCCGCATCATCCTGCCCCTAGTCCTTGTCCTGGTTGATCTCGTCGTCGTCATTCTCCTCCAGGTCCCCCTTCTCGTGCTTGGAAGACGAGGAGTGGGAGGAGGACGAGGATGGCGCCAACATCCAACTCCTCCTCCTCCTCCTTCGCCTCCTCCTCATCCTCCTCCTCCTCCTCCTCCTCCTCCTCCTCCTCTCCCCCTTCCTCTCCTTCCTCCCCCCCATGCCTCCTCCCGAAGATGGCGCAACCCACATCGGACCTGTTTGGGCCTCTGGAGCCTTCCAGGGGACTCTGGAGGTCCTGGTCGGCAGCCCCCAGATGCAGACAAGAAAATGACAACATGAACATGAAGGAAACGATTCCTGAGGGAAAGGGGTCCTGGACCCTGGGGCCTTCCCCCTGGACCAAGTCATCACTTCAATCTCTATCGCTTGTTGACGGCTCTGGGGTCCGTGGAGGGCTCTGGGAGGCCGAACACGGCGAAAACCTCAGGACCCGCTTCCCTCAGGACCCGCTTCGTTGATGGCGACAGAAGGCCATCTTATAGGCTCACAAAGATTCACCTCGATCTACAAATTTCATATACTCCAAGGGCGGCCCGTGCCTGCTGCTGCAGATCCGCCAGCCGCCGCCGCGGAGACAACATGAACGTCGACGACAGCGCCGGCTCCGAGCCCCTCCTGCGGCCGGCCGCGCCCGCCGCCGTTGTCGTTGCCGCAGTCGTCATCGTCGATCGTCGAGGCTGCCGTCGTTCCCCGCCGTGGTCGTGGTCGTTTTGCTCGTGGTCGTGCGCCGTCGTCGTCATGGAAGTGGTCGTCGTGATCTTTGTCCTGGACGTCGTCGCGGCTACGAATGTCGTCGTCGTCGTCCTCGCCGTCGTTCTAATCGTCATGGTCGTGATGGTCGTGATGGTCGTGGTAGTCGTGGTGGTCGTCGGGGTCGTGGTGGTCGTCGTCGTCGCCGTGGAAGTACGGAGCACGGAAAAGAAGAGGAGCAGCGCAGGGAACAAAGCACGGAGCACCATGAAGGAGCAGCGCACGGAACAAAGCACGGAGCACGGAAGAAGAGCAGCGCAAAAGCAAAACACAAAAACAATAGCACGGACAAGCACGAAGAAACACGGAAAGGGAGGGGGGCCTCAGATCGGGGCGCCGGTGGCAAAGCAACAACACAAACAAGGCACGGCTGGCGCTTTCGCCCCAGCCCACCAGCCACAACTGTTTCTTCTCATCCTGGGGGAACTCATTGTATCGACGGTCTCTCGAAGAGGGGGGGTCGAAGCAGATAGGTCCCCCAGGGGGTTGAGACCACATTCTCCTACAAATGTCTCGCAGGAAGGACGGGTTCGAACGCTCCATTCGATTCTCGCTCTGCTCACAGCACCGAGCATCGAGGGCCGCCGACGGTGAGGACGACGACCAAGACGACAGGCACGATGAACAACGAAGAAGAGGAGCGCGTAGGAGACGACGCAGAGGACGACGACGGTGTTTCACACCCTCGTGATTTTAACAACGGCAGGGCAGACTTGAGTGGAGGGGGGGATTTGGAAGGGGGGAGGATTGAGAAGGGGGGCAGGTTGGAGGGAGCAAAATAAGACGACGACAAGCGGAGGAGGGGGACAAAGAGGGAGAGCATAGGCGAACGGAAGCGGTGGGTCATGTGGGGCGCGCACGCGACGCGCGAGGGGCATGGAAGCGGAGAGCCTGCTGCTTTTGTCAGCTCACGCCTGCCGCGATGAGAAGATGTGCTGACATGCCCCACCCTCGCCCCACGTGGGCCCGTGAGTTCTGCAGCATGCCTCTGCTCCCGGCAGGCCGGCTGAGCAACGAAAATCGCGACCAGGGCTGCGCGCTGCCGCGCCGCCCAGCCCTCCCTAGATCCCGCTGGCACTGACGCCCTCAGGAGAAACATGTGGAGGCGGAGGAAGAAGAGTGGGAAGACAAGGAGGATTAGGGGACCACGAGCAGGAGGGCAGGACGACCCGTAACTCATCCGACGACCAAATTTCTTTCAAGTCGCCGGGCCCCATCACTCCCGCTTCCTCCCAGGACAGGCAATTCATCCAGAGCCGTTTTTGTTGACAGCCCCAGGGCCTGAGCAGCTCCTAGGAAATTAAACTTCCGAACCACTTCCAACGCGGTCGAACATCTAGAACCTTCGAATCGCCACAAAGAAACAACAACGGAAGAGAACAACAATCAGAAAAACCGAACATCTGACACACCGAAACACACACACACAACAATACACCGAACACATGATGAGCACTTCTGACACACATCAAGAAACATCCGGGAACCAAGACCATCGATCCTCGTCTCCCCCTCCTCGATTGTCCTCCCTCCTGTGACGACCGATGTTCCGTGCATATCCCTGCTCACGCCAAAACTCTACAAGGGTGATAAACCAAAAAAGGACCCCTAATCCTTTGGGACGGGACCTAAGTTGGGAGGGCCAAAAGCATTAGGGATAGGGGCTCTTTTACGAAGATGCATCGAACCAAACCACCCAGAATGTTATCTCTAATGGAAAAACGACCTCAATGAGGCCACGTCTTCACTGTGATAGTAGGGTTCAGGGCTTCTTTTATTCTCGATGAAAAGGGGCACGGGTTCACAGCAGGCCTCTCGAGACCACAACTCGTGTCCGTGTGCTGCCCCCACCCCCCCTGAAGGCGCAGAGGGCGGGGGGGCATCAAGGGCATGGACAGAACTCCGATCGCCGACTTCCTGGGGAAGGGGAAGATCAGAACGCGCCAACCACAATACCCAAAGGGCCCACGGACACACACACACACACACACACTCACAGAAATACATACACATCCCAGGCTTACCAACATGTTCCTATATATATATATATATATATATACCGCATAGACCACCCTTCGGGTGATAAGGAGGTGAGGGGGGGGGAGGGACCACCGTCGCACTCGATTGATCTCCTTATCAAACTCACTACCGATCTCACAATCGATATCAATCGATAGATCTCACAATCGATCTGATTATCGATCTCACAATAAATCTCACAATCGATCCCACAATCGATCTCACATTCGGTCTCGCTATTGATCTCGCAATCGATATCACAATCGATCTCGCATTCGATCTGACTGTCGATCTCACTATCAAACTCACTATCGATCTCATTATCGATCTCACATTCGGTCTCACTATCGATCTCACTATCGATATCACAATCGATCTCACAATCGATCTCGCATTCGGCCTCACTATCGATCTCTCTATCGAACTCACTTTCGATCTCAGTATCGATCTCACTATCGATCTCACTATCGATATTACAACCGAACTCACAATCGATCTCACATTCGGTCTCATCATCGATCTCACTATCGAAATCACTACCGATCTCATTACCGATAGTGATCTCACTACTAACTCAGTCGATCGATCTCACAATCGATCTGACTATCGATCTCACAATAGATTCCACAATCGATCTCACATTCGGTCTCACTATCGATCTCACTATCGATATCACAATCGATCTCACAATCGATATCCCATTCGGTCTCACAACCGATCTCACTATCGATCTCATTATCGATCTCACATTCGGTATCACAATCGATCTCACAATCGATCTCACAAGCGATCTGACATTCGATCTCACAATCGATATCACAATCGATATCACTACCGATCTCACTATCGATCATCAAAACAAAACATCAACATCGTCATCATCATCACCATCATCATCATCAATGTCATCACCATAATCGGGACACCGACGGGACACCGGCGGGACACCGCGGGCCCCCGGCCGCCCGCGCCGCGCCTCAGCCACACGGGACACCAGCGGGACACCGGCGGGACACCGCGGGGCCCCGGCCGTCCGGAAGGGAATCATTTGGTCCAGCCGCGCCTCAGCCACAGGAGACTTTCCTCTCGCCCGCCCACGCAGCTTCGCCTCGCCCGCACGGCACGCACGAACACAAAACCGAAATCGATTTCCCGGTAGGGGGGCTCTCCGGTCCGGCCGCGCCTCACCCATTACCCTCTCGCATGAAATCGATTTCCCGGTAGGGGGGCTCTCCGTTCCACTTCGATCTCACCCCCTCACCTCCGATACCTATACGACCACCCTTCGGGTGATAAGGAGGCGAGGGGGGGGGGCAACGTCGCACTCGATCGATCTCACTATCGAACTCACTACCGATCTCACAATCGACCTCGACCGATCGATCTCACAATCGATCTGACTATCGATTTCACAATCGATTCACAATCGATCTCACAATCGATCTCACATTCGGTCTCGCTATTGATCTCACAATCGATATCACAATCAATCTCACAATCGATCTCACATTCGATATGACTATCGATCTCACTATCAAACTCACTACCAATTTCATTATCGATCTCACATTCGGTCTCACTACCGATATCACAATCGATCTCGCAATCGACGTCATCATCATCATCATCATCATCATCATCATCATCATCATCATCATCATCATCATCATCATCATCATCATCATCATCGCCATCATCTACATCGTCATCATTATCACTATCATCATCACCATCATAATTATCATCATAATCATCATCATAATCATCATCAACATCATCATCGGGACACCGACGGGACACGGACGGGACACCGGCGGGACACCGGCGGGACACCGCGGGGCCCCGGCCGCCCTGAAGGGAATCATTTGATCCGGCCGCGCCTCAGCCACACGGGACACCAGCGGGACACCGGCGGGACACCGCGGGGCCCCGGCCGTCCGGAAGGGAATCATTTGGTCCGGCCGCGCCTCAGCCACAGGAGACTTTCTCTCGCCCGCCCACGCAGCTTCGCCTCGCCCGCACGGCACGCACGAACACAAAACCGAAATCGATTTCCCGGTAGGGGGGCTCTCCGTTCCACTTCGATCTCACCCCCTCACCTCCGATATATATATTACGGGTTTCGTCTTCCCCCTACTTCCCATGTCTTACCAGATGTTCGGGGAATCGACGCTTAAATGTGTCTGTGTGTTCTTTCCTTCCTGATTTACCAAACACTCTGGAAGGTCCGCGCGGATCTCTTCGTTCGGTGCTGGCATTTCTCTGCATGGCGCGCAAAGCGCGCCAGGGGCGGCGCTGGAACGCCGCCCAAAAAGGTGCCCAAACGCCGACCCTGTAACTCCGTGCGGACCTCCTACAGCTTATGACTGAGCCGTGCTTGTTCCTGCCGCAAGAGAAGCGGAAGGAGGAGGCCTCCCAGACAGGGCTGGAGCCGACGGGATCGCAGGCTCGCGCTGCATCCCAGATGCATCGGCGACGCCGGGATGGAGGAGAACGGGCTCCAGAACGCGCCGCATCGCCGATGCATCGGCGATGCGGCGCAATGCTCCGACGCCCGACCTGCTCCTGCACTGGAGCAAGAGAGAGGGTCACTGCCTAAGCGGCGGAGGGCCCCCCGCAAGCCGCGGGCGCGGCCGTGGCGGTCGCGCTCCCACGGCTCCTGCCGTGCGCGCCGAGGGCGTCCGACGGTGGCGAGGCGCCTTTGTACAGTCTGCGACAAATTCCTGCAGGCTTCCGACGCGCCTGTCCGAGCACCCGTGGCGGCGCGCACGGGGGCCGAGGCGGACGAACTGGGGGGGAGGGGGGTCGCAACGCGGGGGTTCGGGCGTCATCGGCGGAGGCACAAAGGGTGAAGAGGGACAGACGCGGGCATGACGCGTCTGCGCCAAGAAGCGCCGTCGAAGACGTAGGCGATTGGGGACCCTGGACTCCTGGAATGCTTTGTTCCCCCTTCCGCCCCTGCTGCTGCCGCCCGCGTGCAGCGAGTCTGCCCGAGCCCCCCGGCTCCAGAGGCACCAGTGTATCAGGCCAGGCAGCGGCGTCGAGACCAGCTGCCCGCGGCAGCTTCTCTACCCCCCCTTTCCCCAATGCCCCCCCCCATGGGGGCCCACAGAATATACACCACCACCACGTCGATTCCTCCTCTCTCCTCTGTCCAGCGAGAGGGAGGGGGGGAGGGAGGTGGTGGTGGTGGTGTATATTGTTTGGCCCCCCACCCCAGTCGTCCGACCCGAAAGGGGGGTGCGCGAGGGAGGCGAAGCCTCTGGGCCCCAGAGTTGGGTCGGGCACATCCTCCCGCAGGCGGACGCTGGAGGACAACTGAAAAATAGTCACAGGCAAAGCTCACAAACATAATAAAAACACAGCAAAACAATCGTCCCCAGACAATGTTTGACTATGTTTTGCGCCTCCTTCTGCAGAGGGACATGCCCGACTTCCGCCGCCTTCCTGGACGGCCGCCAGTCTCGCGCCGTACCCTCGTGGCGCGCTGCCAGCACCCGCCGAGCATGACCGACGTCCCTCCTGCAATCGGGCGCGGCCTAACCGACCCCTCTAGCAAACCGTCCCCTTTCACGACGCCCCCCTCGCCTCTAAAGGTTCCCTCCGGCCGCACACACACGGCTAGGGGCGAGGAGAAGGGGGCGTCACGGAAGGAGATGGTTTGCTAGGGGGTCGGTTAGGCTGCCCCTGTTGCAAGGCAGGCGCGCTCCACCTCCCCGGGATGGACCGGGCAGGAGGGGGGACGAGACCGGGAATTTCTCGCTTGCGCACAGAGCCTCGAGATCCACCAGAAGGGGGGGTGACCCCGAGGGGGGGCATGCATGAGCTCGATCCGCTGGTGCACCGAACTGCCGCAAACAGATGCCCCTCGCCTGCCCCACCCCTCGGCAAGTATCGGGGGCTGCCGGCGGCTGGGGGGCATCTGTTTTGGGCGGTGCGGTGCAAACGCGATCGAACTCACACCCCACACGGGGCACACACGCATACCCTTCTGCGGGATCCCGAGGCCCCCGTCGCCTGCCCCCCGACCGGCGTCGGCCTGAGGCGACACGCCGACGAGCAGGGGCGGCACAACCGCCCGCATTTATGCACAAAGGGAAAATCCTGGGCGATCGAGGTTCGACCTGCACCCCTGCGCGCGCTGACCCGAAGGCCAACGGGCAACGTCAGGGGGCCACAGGCTCACAGTGGGGAGACATCGAACCCCAGTCTCATGTTGCTCCCATCGTGCTCGCGGACCGCATCCCAAAAAATACTACTCAGAAGTAGATCGAAACCGTGTCGAACGAGTATCGCCTCCTAGGGGCCGACACGTGAAAACCCTGACGTTTCGGTACTTCCTTGGTGCTCGAAATTCTTTCTGGTGGTCAAGGCTACAGTAGGTTGGAGCATCATAACCCCAACCGCCCTTTCATCACCGATGGGGGCCTGATAGCCCAACCCGCCAAGGACCGTTGAGGATGAGATCTCGGGGGCCCATCGCCGACTCGTCGGCGATGCATCCCCGACTCAGTCTCGGTGTCCCCCCCTCCTGAACCAATCCCCCTTTCCGTTGCCTCTCCCACTCTGTGGGCGCCGGGGGCGGCCGGGTGTGGACAGAGAGCGTTGGCCTGCAAAGGCGGGGCTCTTGTTCACAGCTCGGCTCGCGGCCGCTCGGGACGATCCGGGCATCCCCGGACACCTCTCGGCGAGGCGCGGCTGATGAAACGCACCCCGAGGCTGGAGAACTGCGGAGAGCCAACGGAACGTCCGGAAGCCTCAAAACCCCCACCCCCCTCCGAGCCCACCCCGACCCAAGCGTGGATCGAACGTCGATCGCCGAGTCTCTGCCTCCGCGCGCCCGCCGCTGGAGCGGCTCCGGCGCAGGCCTGGGCGCGCAGGGGGTCACGCCACCGCTGCCGCGCAGGCCTCCTCCACCGCAGCGGGCGCCCTGTCCTCCTCCGGCCGCCCACCGGCCTCCCTGAGCTGATCCTCTGGGGCTGCACGCAAGGAGTACCCCAAGGGACACCTCTGGCGCACGGCTTCAGACGGCGGCGAGCCCGGGGGGGAAGCGAGAAGGGGCGGACCTTCTCAGAAGGCTCGGAGGTTCCCCAGCCTTCTGAGAAATGTTCAAGGTATTCCCCGAAGACACAGAAAACCTTTCAGAAGGCCGGACGCCTTCTGAGAAGCCCCGCCGCCTGATGAGAAGTCCGTCTCCTTCTCACTTCCCCCCTTCGCTCGCCGCGCCGATTCAGACGGCGGCGGGGAGGGCCCAACCCAATCGCGCCGGCCAATGCTCCGGGGGTTCCACCTGTGGGCCCGCACCAAAAAAAAAAAAATGGCGACGGACCGCTCGTGCGGGGGGTGCCAAAGGTGCCCCTGGCCCGAGGTGCTCCCAGCTTTTCGCTCGATGTTGAAGACCCTGGGGCCCTCATTGCCTCGTGAGGGGTGCTCGGGACGCCTTTGGGGCCTCCTTCGGAATCCTGCGGGCACCTGAGGCCAGGGGTACTTCTAGCAACAGCCGACTCGTTGACTACCTACCAGACCACCCCAACCCAACCCGAAGACCCGAATTTCGGGTTGGGGGGGGTAAGGGTTCCACGTGTGTTTTTTCTATGTTTCCCGACCCCCCCCCCACTGGAAATCGAGGGTAAATCTGAGCCTTCGGGTTGGGTTGGGGTGGTCTGGTGGGTGGTGACTCGTGGGCGCAGCCGGCTCCTGGAGCCAGCCGCGGATCTCGAGCAGCCGGCGCCGCTGCCCCAGCCGCTGCTGGGCCTCTGGGATGTCCTTGAAGCACTTCCGGAAGGAGCTGCCGCGGCGAGGCGGGGGGCCTCCGCCCTGGAACCTTCGGGTGGCAACTCACGGGAGCCTCCCGTACCATCCCGTCGGCTCTTGCGAATCGACGCCAGTCGACGCTACATCGACGCTAATCGACGCAAATCGACGCTAAATCGACGCTAATCGACGCTAAAGACGGAATTGCGAGGGCAGACCAGGCAACCATGACTTGCTACCGAATGGAACCCCAGCTTCTCCTCGTACCACGCGTGCAGCCTCCTGGAGTGCTCGTCGCCGGCGAAGTACTGGTACTCTATCTGAATGGCCTCGTTGACCGTGGCCAGGCGCCGCTCGCACGCCAGCACGAGCGCTGTGGCGATGCCCTGCCCCTGGCTGGCGGGGTCCACCGCCATGAGGCCCCAATGGCCGCAGCCCTCGGGTGTCCAGCCGGGGTCGAAGGTGGAGCTCGCGCAGCCGACGAGCTCGCCGCCCTTGAACGCCAGGTGCAACACGCGGTTCGCCGCCGGGCCGGCGTCGCCCATCGCGAGACGGTGCCTGGCGTCGTACTCGTCCACGTGCTTGTGCTTGCCCACGCTGGAATAGGCCTTGTCCACGATGTAGCATATTCGGTCGATCATCCCAGGGATCTCGGCGTGCTCCGAGGTGCCGATAACGACGAGGACCTCCCCGCCACCGTTGGGCAACTGCACCACAGCTCTGTCCGTGGGGCCGGTCACCGTGGCTTGCTTCTCCGCCGGCGGCTCCTCCACCTCGATGTCTGGCTCCTGCTGCAACACCCGCTCCACCTCAAGGAGATACACTTTCAAAGGTCCGTGCGGATTTCTTGGATCAACGCCAGGCCCCCCTCCCTGGCGCGCGGAGCGTGCCGGGAGCGGCGCTGAAGGTGCCGCCAAGGGGACCCTCTCAGATGCACGAAATACTCGCGGCCCTTGGCACAAAGAACTATATGCTTTTGCTGTATGGTCCGTCTCCGAACCTCGGCCAGCTTCCGCTTTATCATCAACTGGCGGGCTTCCTGGTCGACGCAGCCGCTGCTCTGCCGCTTCATGGCTTCACAGGCACTGCGAACGGCCTCCCTGGCTCTGAGCTACCCGGCTTGTCGGGGGCGCCGAAGCGGGAGGCCAGGACATGGGGATAAGCGCATCATGGCCCAAAGGGTGTGTGTGTGTGTGCGTGTGTTTGTGTGTATGTGTGTATGAATGTATGTGTGTATGTATGTGTGTCTGTGTCTGTGTCTGTGTCTGTGTCTGTGTCTGTGTCTGTGTCTGTGTCTGTGTATGTGTACGTGTATGTGTATGTGTAGGTGTGTGTAGGTATGTGTGTATGTGTGTATGTGTATGTGTGTCTATGTATGTGTGCAAGTGTGTATGTGTATATGTGTGTGTGTTTGTGCATGTGTGTATGTGTGTACGTGTGAATGTGTGTATGTGTGTATGTGTGTATGTGTGTGTGTGTGTGTGTGCGTGCGTGCGTGTGTGTGTGTGTGTGTGTGCGTGTGCGTGTGTGTGTGTGTGTGTGCGTGTGCGTGTTGTGTATTGTGTGTCATGTTTGTGTGCTGTTTGTGCGTGTGCGGGCGAAAGGGGAGCCAGGGGGAGAAGCGTTGAAAGAGGAAAAGACGGGCCCATGACGCTTGGGAGACCTCATCGCCCGGGCCATGATATCCACCCACCCGCCTGTCTATAAGCCTCGCCCCCCGTCTGGACGCCCCCGAGCGCCGCGCGCCTCGCGGCGGCGGGGCCGGCGTGGAGTGAGCGCGGCTACCGCAGCCGCCCTCAGCCAAAGGTGAGGGCGAGGAAGGAGCCCACGCTGCAACAATAACAGCCGCGGACGCCTCTCGGCGACACGCAATGCATGGCCCTGGAACTGCTACACCTGTCCAAATCTACCCCGGTCAACCTTCCGGACAACTCTGGTCAACTCTCCCCATCGACTCCACCGGCCAACCCTGATTTGGGAAATGCTTTCCATCCGCTTCAACAAGAGTGACCTGTGGTACAGTAGTGAGTGATCTTTACCGATCGTGGTGTTCGATGCGACAGTAGCGGCTTGCGCGCTTGGGTTTGCCCCCGCCCCCCCCCCCCCCGCGCCCCCCAACAACTGCACAGCCCCAAAGGTCATTCGAGGGATGGGTCACACTTGTGTGTAAAGAACCGAGGCTCTGAGAAAACCTAATCCGATTCGATAACGCGTCCCAATATAGTGGCACATGTGTCGGTCGGGAGAAACAGCTAGAAACAAGAAGCCGCATGTCAAATGGACTGCTTGTCGATCCGACCCGGAACAGAAACAACACAACACATCCATTCATGATATTCGTCTAAGGGTATGAAGAGCATATCGTTTCAACGATCGACAAAATGGCATCCGTCGGACGGAGTCTACTCCAGATTTCGTAATAAAGGGAAGGGGGTCTCATTTCTCGGGAGGGGGTCTCTTCCAGGCTATCTTGGAGGGCCTGGGGGGGTCTGGGGACGATGTTTTGGAGGGTTCTCCCACGGGGGGGGGGGTCTGAAATGGCTTGTCTTGGAGGGTCCAGACCCCCTCCCCTTTATTACGAAATCTGGAGTACCCACGAGGCCAAAACGAGGAAACAACATCGTCTAAATCTGGACTCAACTCAAGGCCTCTGCTCGCGACAGGGAACCGTCCTGTCGTGCGCAATCAGTGCATCTCGGGCCCACAGTGGTCGCCACCACCTCATCAACTCGACCCGCCTCGCACCACAACTCTCCTTGCTAACCGCTGGGCAAGGAGCGATTCCTGCGCCCGAGACGTGCTCCGTGCAAAAACCCGTTTCTTGTCCCGTGCTGGTGCATGCGGTGCCACTGCTACGCTGGCACCCGTGCCCAACGACCTGGACCAACTCCCACCATCTCTTGTCGTCCCCCTCTTCTCTGCGTCAGGCAACCGATCCTCTGCAGCTCGTGGGGCTCGCGATCCGCTGGCGGCAAGCCTGCACACACGAGAGCACAGCCGAAGAGTCGATGGGAAGCAGTACTCTAGCAAGAGAACGAAGGGACGTGGGAACGACACAGTGAGAGGGGCTGGAAGGCTGCACGTGGGCAAGGCCGCCTGGCTTGGGAAGGGCGAGAGGTTGCCGCGGCAAGGCGGCGTGCACCATTGTCCGCCAATCACCGCTTGTCGGGGAGGGGGGGTGCACCTCCCGAAAAGCCAGATACTGTCTCTGAGACTGTCCAAAATAGTCTCGGTGACAGCCCCTGTTGTCCGCAAGCTGGCCATGGTCTCTCCCGAGAAGCCCCCCCCCACGTCATGGGCCTCGACAGTCTTGGGACGGCCCCAGGGCAGCCCATGAGGCCCAAGGGAAGACCCAGATACGCCCAACATGACCACAACGGGCCACACGAGGGCCACCACGGGGCCAGAGAAGGCAACAAGCATCCAGGAGGCTTCGAAACAGCTTGACGGGGCCCGGATATTGCACCAACATGACCCACATAATAGCTCAACATGGACAGGAGGTAAGCCCCAAGAAGGCTCAGGCCTTGAAGATGGCCTCCGAAAGGGAAGGCCTCGATGTCCCCAAATCTTGCCCCCAAGAGTTCTAGCACACGCACATCGAGACCAGAGCATTACCAGATGGTGTTTCCCTGCGGCGGCGGGATCGATGGCACTGCGGTCGAAGCAACCTCTGGGCCACGGAAACAAGCGCCTAAAAGCGCACTCACATAACATGCCCCAAGGCGCGAAAACCGTGTGACCTCATTTCTAAGCGCGTTGGTCGCACAAGAGGAAATCTGGAAGCACACCCGCATGGCTGTTGGCCATTCGAGACTCACGCTCTTATAGACCTGGCATTCCTTCTCTTTTCCTCCTGGAGGGTGTCCTCTCGTCTCCACTCTTCTCTGTCGCATGAGAATGCCATAAGTCCTGCTCCTCCTCCTGCGTGACGAAATCCTCGCGCTTTCTTCTTCTCCTCCGCATCAGCTCGCTCCTCCGTATCCTCGTCCTCCATGTTGCACTCTCTGGAGCAGCACCTGAGCACCCCTGGACGTGGCCACAAATAACCTCTCAAGGGTAGGAGCATAATGACACACGCCCCGGCGACAGTGCGTATGACGGCACTCTAAGCACTTAGAGTGCGTAAGCAAAACTTAACCCTAGAACAACGACTGGACACCGCCATGCACGGACTTCAACATACCTTATTGTAAAGCTCTTTCAGAATTAGACAGAACGGCGCCGCGCGCTCGATGATGCGCCAAGAACAACGCGTACTTCCGGGACTATACGTCTATGTAGCTGCATGTTCTTCGAACCCCGAAAATTTCAACTAAGATGGGCTACCGCACAAACGGCTTGGCATCGCCACGCGCGGGCTTCAGCAATCCGTATTGTCAAACAGTTGCCACGCGAACGTAGGTCAAGAGCACAAGCGCTTCACCGAGGGCCAACAGAGAAATGGAGATGCCCCAAGCGAAGAGCCTTCGAAGGTGGGGAGCTCAACACACAAAGAACATGAGGGCATACCCCTCCAAAGCTGGGACGGCTCTTAATCCTCGTGCCAATTGGACTTGTCCTGAGAGATGAGACATCGCCAAGCAAATCGACACAGTGACAAATCACGACAAAGACCCTCGACATGGTGCTTCTGCAGCACTTCCCGACCTGGATCGAACTGCGAAGCTCCCAAGGCCCGCAAACAGGCGCAAACGCACGGCGTGAAAAGTCTGCAACGCCAGGATATCAGGGTTAGAACTTTCTACAGCATCGCACTCGTCACACTGTGGCCCAGTGGCCGAGTGGCGCGTTAGGCTTGGGCAGCACACGTTCTAGCGTGGTCGCCCATGGTTCCACCGCCGATCAGCTAGTCTGGTGCTGCGCGCAAGGGGTTGCCGCCTGGCCCCAGATCTGTGATGTCTCGATCAGTTCGAGTCCCCCCACCGAAAGTTCGCATTGAGGACTTGGGTCCTGGAAGAAATGGCTTCTGGATGCATTTCGCCGCTTTCGGGCCCCAAAAACCCTGAGACGCCGGCGACAACGAACATGACTACGACGTCGTCGTCGCGGGCAGTGGACGATGGAACCCCCAGGAACACCCACAAACCTCCAAGACGACGACGACGAAACACTGACCACGACTCCACCCCCACGCGCTCGCATGGATTACAGATTCGTGGATCTGGTGTGTGAGCGCGCCCTGTCAACGTATCCGGGAACATACACCGCGAAGCATGAGGCCAGTGCCACCTGCTTTGGCCACGGAGCGCGCCGACTCCGTGTGGGACGGGACCCGTCGCTGATTCCACGCGCCTCAACCCGTGCTTGAACTTCTGCGACCTCGAAGTCCACCCCGGCCAGCCTCGCTCGAGCCGCGACCCGCCGTGGCGACCGATGAGCACCCCGAGGAGAACGTCCCGCAGACCTCTGGGACGACGATGACGGTCAGGACGACGAAGCCCCAGACAGAAACGGCGACCGACCACGGTGGCAGCCAAACGGCGGCTCAAAGCCCAGCCAGGACATGACCCCCTCCAGAGAGCCCCCCCCCCCTCCCCGCATGCCTCCCCGGCGCCAGGCCATCGCGAGATGCGATGGAGGGCGGCCCTGGGAGGGCGTCGACATGTCTCGGTCACCTCTCGGCGGCGAGCTCGGGGGGGAAGTGCAAAGGAAAAGGCTCGGAAGTCCCACGGCCTTCTGAGAAGTTGGCCGAAGTTGTCTAAGCCCTCCCCGAAGACAAAACAGGGTTCCCAAAGGCGCGAGGGCTTCTGAGAAGTCCCGCCGCATTCTGAGAAGGCCTTTTCCTTTTCACTTCCCCCCTCGCTCGCCGCCGAACCTAGCTTCTCGCATCGCGCATCGCGCGAGGCGCGATGCTCCTCGCGCCATGTCGCGCCCTTCGCGCCGCCCGCACTGAGAGAGCAGGGCAGCCGCTCGGGCCCAGATCGCGACACGCAAAATGCGCGATGCATTAGTGCCTTCGCGCCCCCACGGGGGCCGTACTTGTACATACAGTGGAGACCCGACCACAAGAAACTTTCCACAAAAACCCAACATAGAGACCCCAGAACGTCCATTGCCTTTTGTTGGTGTGGGAACGCCACGCTCTCCACAGCAAAACTATGCACCACGTCGTCGGGTCGGACGGGCGAGGGAGCAACGGCGGGGGGGGGTAGCAAAGGGAGATCAGTAAAAACAGCTTACGCGGCTGGATTTCCGGTCGTCGTCTGGCGCTGGGAGGCGCTAGTGTGTCGAGGATGAGGTGCCCGGCGGCGGGGGGGGGGCGAGACCAGCTGCATGCAACAGATATCGTACCCTCCCATTTCCCTAACCCCCCCTCTTCGTCCGGCCCGAATACACACGCCCCAGCTTCCCCAGATATCGGATGCTGGAGCGCCTGTACACCAAGTCAGCGGCCCCGTGGGCGACTAGAAGACATGGTGCTTATACGGTCTAGAGCTTTTGCATAGCATGTCGTGGAGGCGGCCTCGGAGACACGCTATACCCTGCGAGCGGATAGTGTGTCGCTCCGCTTCGCGGGGGGCTGGAGGCTTGAAACAGCTCGAGACGTTGAGGCTGCAAGACAAACAAATGAGTAGCGTATCGCGCCGACTTGTGGTATACCAGAACCGGCGGTGCGACACGCTCCGTACATCGGGCCCCTCCCAGACCCCCAGACCCCCAGGGCCTCAGAGACGACGACGGCCGTGACCACGACGTCGTCGCCGCCGCTGTCGCAGGCGCTGCGCGCGGCGCTGGCCGCTCCCCAAGCGCAACCGTCGCCGCGCGGCCGACTCTCCGTCGTCGGCGGCGGGGCCGTCGTCGGCC